CAAAGAAAACCATTTCCAAAAAAATCTCAAAATAAGATTCAAAATAGTAAGAGCAGCAATAAAATTATTATCTTTTTCAAACCTTGCAACGCTCAACTCGGGTCGCCGGAGGAGAACCTTCAAGCGCCGTTTTCAGAGCTTCAACTGGCTTATGCCTGATTGATAACAACAACAACAACAACAACAAAAGAAGGATCAAATTTAGCTTCCGATTAGGGTTTTCGCAGAAAGTGAGATGTGATTGCGGAATGCAAAAGTAAGAAGATTACTGTTTCAGAAGGCTCTCGATCTTTCTAGATTTGTGTTCGATTCTTGCGATTATGGCCTCTGCATTATCTGCTTCAACGAACCCTTGCACCCCTGCCATTGAAAAACCAACGAGAAGCTCACTTGTCCCTGAAAATTTTCCCGGAAAATTCTGTTTGGGGGAGAAACTGAAAAGAAATGCCCAACCAGTGGGCTGAGCGATCTCCACTAGACATAAGCCCAGCCTGCTATAAATGGGCCGTCTTATCCCAAAACCTCTTATATGAATGAACAGAACCGGCCCACTGGCCCATATTCCGGATATCACGGAAAAAAAGGTGAGAAAAGTCAAGGTTAATTACGTAAATAGGAACAACGGTCATAATAATTAGGTTTAATACCCAATTGGTCCTTAAACTTTCATTTGAGAACTTAGTTCGTCCTTTAACTTCATAAAGCACTCAAGTTGTCCTTTAACTTTATTTTTCTGTAACCCAAATGGTCCTTTCGTTGACAGACTGCATACTTGGCACACTAAGTGTCCAACAATTATCACTTTTAATTTTTACATGCTTACGAGGAAAAAACACTTCAGCCAATTGATTACATAGCACCATTTTTACTTCACATTTGATAAAATAAAAACAGTGGGACATACATTTCTTTGTTTTTCAGAAACCCCTAAATCCTTCTTCGAAATCCCTAAATCCTCTAGTACCATTCTAGCTGATTGCTTAGTTTCTAGAAACGAGAAAGCAATTGGCAATGGTTGTAGATCCTTCTTCTTCGACCCCTAAATCTTCTGCAAGTCTTGATTCTTTATTCTCCGAACTGTTGATTCCTTCTTTGACCCATAAATCCTCTGCAATTTCTTCTCTGAACCCTTGATTCCTTTTTCGACCCTTAAATCCTCTACAAGTCTTTCTTCTTCTAACCCTTCTTCAACCCCTAAATCCTCTGCAACTCTTGATTCCTTCTTCTTCGAACCCTAAATCTTTTGCACTTTGTGATTCCTTCTTTTTCCCTTGAACAGTATAACCTCTGTTATTTGTCTTTTTGGCTTTTGGGTTTGTGAAAATCATAAAATGGAAGTTGGTTCTGCACGGAGTGCGGTTTCAGGTTCTGGTTCATTTGAGAGTGGAAGCATGGTAGATTCTACAGAGTTCAGGCTGAAACACTCACCAACAGTGATCATTTGCCTGCCCCTTCACCTTTGGCGAAAGAAAATGAATCAATGGAGTCTACCAACTCTAATGATGGTGAACCAGCTCCTCCAAATCAAAAAGCTCACAGTACCCACTGGTGTTTCCTACTTATTTCTCACCATTCTTTCCATTTTCATTTCCATTTTGGCTGGGGTGCAACACAGAGCCAACTACAAAAGAGACGCATAAAGTCATAAAGCCAACAACAGTACATTCAAAGAGCCCAATCAATGTTGAAGAGCTCGTTGGCATGTCAAAACTAAGTTTGGGAGAGTCCATTGGTGATTCTGGCCCATCCTCTCTTTCATTGAAGCTTCTTCAAGGGTCATCTAAACATTCAGCTTTCTATGCAAATCTTGCATCAAGCAATTCAAGCATGACTGAGTTGTTTTTTCGACATAGGCATGTAAAAATTAAAAGTGGTAATTGTTGGACACTTAAACGTGCCAAGTATGTAGTTTGTCAATGGAAGGACCATTTGAGTTATAGAAAAATAAAGTTAAAGGACAGCTTGGGTGCTTTCTGAAGTTAAAGGACAAACTAAGTTCTCAAATGAAAGTTTAAGGACCCAATTGGGTATTAAACCTAATAATTATTACCATCTTGCTTTTTGAATCCTGCCTCTCTCCATTTTCCGTGGCTACAAAGTCTTCCTTTCTTCTCTCAATCATTTTCACCTCAATCTTCCGTCTCCGTTTTCAGAACCTCAGTTTCTTCATCAATGGCGGATACCCAGTTTGCTCCTGTGTTTCATTCGCCGCCTCAAAGAAGGTCCAGCAGTCGCTTCTCATCCAGGAGGTACACTCGCTTTCTCTGTAAGTGTCTGTTCTTTGTGTTCTTTCTCGTTGCAATTCCTTTGTTTCCTTCCGAAGCTCCAGATTTCATCAACCAAACCATATTCACCAAATTCTGGGAGCTGTTTCATCTTCTTTTCATTGGCATTGCTGTGTCCTATGGTTTGTTTGGTTGTAGAAATGTTAATATGGGTTCTGAGATTCACTCTAGAGATCCCGATGATTCGCAGTCTTATGTGTCTAGAATGTTTCACGTTTCTTCAATTTTTGAAGATGGGTATGAAAATTCTTGTGGGTTTGATGAGAATAATGTGTACAAATCTTGGAATTCACAGCATTACCAGGGCGGCTCTGTGCTTGGTGAACAGAGCAAGCCTGGATCTTTCAATGTAGAGAATGGGTTTGAGAACCTTGGTGGATATAATGAGGAAAGTGTTGCTCAAGCATGGAATTCTCAGTATTTTCAGCATGAATCCATGGTTGTAGTCGCTCAACCCAATTGTACGCTTGATTCTGGTTCAATTTTGAGTCATAAACCCCTGGGTTTGCCTGTCAGGAGCCTAAAATCAAGGGTTAGAAACCAGGATAAACCTGAAATTGTTAATGGAAGTCAGTCTAGTCCCATTGGAGATTATTCATTTAAGAGTTCTGAAAAGAGTAGAAATGAGAAATTTGATGATATGGGTCCTGTAAACTTGAGGGAGAAGTTCAGTGAAACTGCTGGTTCATCCTCCCCAATTCCTTGGCGTTCAAGATCGGTTAAGACGGGATTGAGAGAGAAAGTGAGTGGCACTACTCGACCCTCACATTTTAGGCCTCTCTCTGTGGATGAAACTCAATTTGAATTCCTTAAATCAAAGTCCCAAAGATCGTCGGCTTCCTCACACTCCTCCCAATCTAGCCCAGTGTCACATTCCCCAAGCACACTATCTCCC